TGGCTAGAGATCTGTGAAACACCAAATAGAGTTCATGGTACAATAACAAGTGCTGTTTTGAGACTTAAGGCAATAGAATAATTACAAATTATTCTCTTCTAAAGTGCTTTTAATATGTTAAAATAGGAGATAACTATTATACAATTCCCATATCTAGTCAGAATTGAAACAGCCCAAATAATGAAAAGTGAGAGAAAACCTGCTTAAGCACTGGCATTGCAGAGGAGGCGTCCTGGAGCCAGACGTGTTTGTCCTAGACTCAGATTAAGGATACATATAGAGTTAGCTAAATTATAACATTCTAGATTGTGACTTTAGGCTGAAATGTATTAACAAAATTCAGTAGCAGCTGGGCGTGGTGAAGCACACCTTAAATCTCACTAGAGGCAGGTAGAGTTCAAGGACAGCCTGATGTGCATAGTTTCAGGATGGCAGGGATATGTAGAAAGACCCTGTTTTGAAAAACAATTCAATAGCCATTGTCTCAACCCTTTTTAAATGAATTTTTCTTTCTTTCTTCCTTTTTTTTTTTTTTGTTTTGTTTTGTTTTGTTTTGTTTTGTTTTGTTTTGTTTTGTTTTTCGAGACAGGGTTTCTCTGCATAGCTTTGCGCCTTTCCTGGAACTCACTTGGTAGCCCATGCTAGCCTCGAACTCAACAGAGATCCACCTGGCTCTGCCTCCTGAGTGCTGGGATTAAAGGCGTGTGCCACCATCGCCCACCCCAACCCTTTTTAAAACTTAGATGCAGTGAAGAGTCATCTCAGTACCTGGGAGGCTAAGACAAGAAAACTTGGATTCAAGAGCAGCCTGGGTTATATAATGACACTGTCTCAAAGTAAAAGAAGTCATCTCAAAGTCAGCTAGTCAACGTAGTCTTGAGCTTACCAACATTCATTAAAGGAAATCAACAATAAAACATTGAAAAGGGTTATTGATAACTTCCTGATTATTAAAACAGAGAAGATAGCACTAAGCAGACAGCACACTGAAATAGTGAATACTTAAAACTCTAGATCCCTGATAGACAAAGTAGAAAAGTTCTAGTTATATTAACTAAAATGATTATTTAAAAAAAAAAATTGGAGGAGCCTGGCTGTGGTGGTACATGCCTTTAATCTTTAATGCCAGTGCTCAGGAGGCAGAGACAGGCAAATCTCTTAAGTTTGAGGTCAGCCTGGTCTACAGAGTGAGTTCCCGGACAGCAGAGAAAAAGGAGAGAGAGAGAGAAGAAAAAAATTGGAGAGATGACTCAGTGGGTAAGGCCTTTGTTGTGCTTGTTAGAGGACCCCAGTTTGGATCCCCAGAACCCACATAAAGTCAGACACAGTAGTGTCTTATATGCCTGTAGTCAGTGTTCTTATGATAGGGTGGGAGACAGGATTCCCAGAAGCTTGGTGGGCAAAAGCTAGCCTTTGGGAAAACAAGAGACCTTGACTCAAGGTGAAAGGTAAGGGCTGACAGCTGGGATTGTCCTCTGACCCTCATGCCACAGCACACAGCAGTTTGCACCATAGTGTGTGCTAATACACTAATAGGGGGCTGGAGAGATGGATACATGGTAAAGAGCACTGGCTGCCCTTCCAGAGGACACAGGTTCAATTCCCAGCACTGCTGTGGAATAATCCTTCTGTATACTGTAAATTACACTGTGATTGGTTTAGTAAAGAAACTGACTGGCCAATAGCTGGACAGGATAAGGTTAGGTAGGAAAACCAGACTAAGGACACTGGGAAGAAGGGCAGAGTCAGAGGAGTCGCCATTAAGACAAGGAGAGGAAACAGGAGGTTCAAGATGAAAGAGGCAATGTCACATGGCAGAATGGAGATTAATATAAATAAGTTAATTTAAGTTGTAAAAGCTAGTTAGTAATAAGACTGAGCTATCAGCCAAGCATTTATAATTAATATTGTCTCTTGTGGTTATTTGGGAATGACTGCTGGGACATGGGAAAACTCCACCTACACAGCACCTGTAGTTCACAACTGTCTTAAATTCAGTTCTGGGGGATCTGAAATCCTGTTCTGGCCTCTGTGAGCACCAGGAATGTACATGGTATGTAGATACACATGCAATGTAGATATACATGCAGGCAAAACATGCATAGATAGAGAATAATTTGTTTAATTTCTATTAAAAACTAAAATTAGTTGAAATTTTAGCAAAGAAAGCTAGGGAGATGGCTCATAAATTAAGAGCACTGGCTGTTCTTCCAGAGGACCCAGCTGCTGCATAGTGCTCTGCCCAGATCACAGGGGACCCCCAAAAGACCACTATGGATATCAAATCCTATATGTAAAAGCAAAGCGCCTTTATTTTAAGCTCAGAGCTTGGACTCTCTGTCTGATGCAGCAGTGAGAGCAGAGAGCCCCGAGCCCAGGCAGGGTAGGGTTTTTAATCATAGCAGAGGTTGGGCTGAGGGGATTTCTAAGGTTCAGGACCCTGATTGGCTGACATCTGGACCCTGATTTGTCTAGGGGCATCTGTAAAAGGGAAATAGGTATGTGCTAGGCTCAGGGATATCTGGTGATCTTATCTAATCTTATCTAAGGGTTGGAACATTTGAGATGTCTAGTACATCCCCTTAGACACTGGCCTACCCCTGGGTGGATCCCTGGATGGTGTTAGCTTATGACTTTTCCTAGATCTGGGTGTTGCCTGCCAGTGAGCTTATTACAGCAGCTGTGTCTGGGCCTCTAAGCCTGTCATGGCAGTTGTGTGATCAAGCTGTTTTGGGGCCCCCCTCGTGTTCCTCCCTTCACAAGTACCAATGTTCACAGGTACCAGGGTTCAAGGGGATGGTATTGGGACCTAAGAACCATTAACTGGATGCTACTGACCCACTCTGGAATGAAGGTAATTAGTCTAATAAGGCAAGTGCTAAGTGTAAGCAAAAGGAGCAAGATCACTACGGGGCCAAGTAGGGCAGACACCAGGGTGGTTATCCAAGGGGACCAGTTGAACAAGTTCTCATACCACCCGGCTTCTGAGCGTACGTTCTGCTCTCCATCATTAATTCATTGTAGTCAGAAGTTTCCCTCTGTCCCGCCCAGTCTGCCACCTCTCAGACACCAATAAACACACAGAAGCTTATATTAATTACGAACTGTATAACCATTAGCTCAGGCTTATTACTGACTAGCTCTTACACTTAACCCATAATTCCTATGTTTAGCCACGTGGCTTAGTATCTTTTTTTTTTTTTTTTTTGAGCTGAGGATCGAACCCAGGGCCTTGCGCTTGCTAAGTAAGCACTCTACCACTGAGCTAAGTCCCCAACCCCCTTAGTATCTTTTCTCAGTTCTGCCTTGTCGTCTTGCCTCCTCTGTGTTTGGCTGGCAACTCTTTACTCCTTTCCTCTTCCCAGAATTCTCCTCGTCTGCTCGCCCCACCTATACTTCCTGCCTGGCTACTGGCCAATCAGTGTTTTATTAAACCAGTGTACAAAAGCATTACCCACAGCACTCTGTTTTCTTAACAAGGCCACTGAATCTCTACACCAGAATGATTGACATAGAAACAACATTCTTCCCCCAGAGCAACACAGGCCTCCTTGTTGCATGAAGAGGAGGTCCAGACCTCTTCGATTTTGCAAGGCAACCTCAGCCAGGGACTCTAAGGAGGTTTCTAATTTGAATATATACTCTTCTATGTTTTTGGTTTTTTGTTTGTTTGTTTGTTTTTTGTTTTTGTTTTTGTTTAACTTATTTTAACTTTATTTTATGAGCATTGATGTAAAGGTGTCAGATCTCCTGGAACTGGAGTTACAGACAGTTGTGAGCTGCCATGTGGGTGCTGGGAATTGAACCCTGGTCCTCTGGAAGAGCATCCAGTGCTCTTAACTTCTGAGCCATCTCTCCAGCCCCTTGTTTGTTTGTTTGTTTAGATCCAAACTGATGGCTAATTATTGGGCCTGGCAGTTTCTATCCTGGAGAATTAAGGCTGAGGTGCCCATCCCCAATCCCCCAGCTATGCCCAGCCCTACCAGGGAAGAGAGTAAGAGAGCTGTTGCCCCTATGACCCATTTTGCCCTGGCAAGAATAGGGGATAAGGCCAGTTCCATTTGGACCCCTTTATAGTATTTCATGTTGGGGAACAATTGGAACATCAACAAAACCCTTGCCCTGTGTTAAGAACCATCTCATGGATGAAGGGAGTGAGCCCCGAAGTGCAAGCCCATCATCCAGCAGAGGCCAAATAGAGAGTGTTGTTTTGTACGGTGATGGTCTGATTATATAAATCTGCAGGGCTTGCTTTCACACAGGTCCCCATACCATTCACCTGCTGTAATGAAATCTTTCCTTGCTTTCCCCAAGGGCAGGATGCTAGGGAGACTGAGGTGTAATCACTGGTTATTGCAACACCAATATAAAAAGGGGGTGTGCATGTAGACAAAGCCAGCATTCATTAGTCAAGTCAGGTTTAGAGGCATTTATCACCTGGAAGGTTTTAGAAACCAAGTCCCATAAAGGGTGTTGGCTATATGAAGAATCTTGATCCTGAGAAGTGGTTCCAAAGGGGACTACTGGTGTCTGGTCTCCTCCTGGGGATTTGGTGGCAGGAGCCTCCTAAGGTAACAACTGAATTATGTCCTATTGCCACTGGGGGTGGTGGCTGAACCTCTAATCTGATGGTGAAGAGGGTTACTGGGATCGACCCAAGATAAGGTCCAGGCCCCAGGTCTTACCAGTGGTCCATTCCTCTGTCTTAATTTGTTTCTCCCATGAGTAAATTCTATCCTGAGGGGATTACATTTCTGATTTCCATAGGACCCGCAACCATTGTCATATAGACCTCATCAGACTGAGATCAAATCGTCTCCTACCGGTGGTATCCACCATATAGGTCCAGTACTCACACATTTCCAAGAGGGACAGAAGTAAGACTCAACTCCTCCACATTGCTGACACCAGGACTTTTCAGTCTTGTTTCCCCGGTATGAATAAAAACCACTTCCTCTCAGCTAGTGCTGGTCTCTGTTGAACAGAAATAAATCCTGTACCTCAAATTCTAAAGGTGGGAACCAGGTCCCAGGTGGAGCCATAACTGATTCTTGTTTGAGGATTTCTCCAGAGGATGTGTCAGTGACAGTCCAGGTGAGTGCTGCAGGTCGATGTGGATCAGCAGGAAACGTGGGTGGCAAAGGATGAGCAGTGCCAGCAGAAACAGGATCTTTGTGATGGAGGTTGGTCTCCTGGTTGAAACTTACGTGGCGTGGATGGTGGAGGCGTCTCATAAATGGCCCTTGGGCAGGAGTATATGTCCTTATGCAGGAGAGCCACAGCCTTGGGGGAAGCAGCCAGGTTAACATCATCAAACTCAGCAACAAGATCGGATCTTAAGTTAGGCAAAATAGGAGGGAGCCTCCCAAACATGATTTCAAAGGGAGTTAGCCCTCAGGTAGCTTTTTGGAGACCCTCTGAGCACTCTCATGCCTTGTGTGAAAGGTCTCTACCCACGCAGAGAATGTATCTATAAATACTAAAAGATGTTTGTAAGCATATTTGCCAGGTTTTACCTCAGTGAAGTCCATTTCCCATGAGGAATCAGGTTTGGTGCCTCTAAGTCTGGCTCTAGGATTTTGGGTTGGTTGTCTGCACTGGTGAGTTGGCAGGCCAGGTATTTTTCAGCAATTTGTTCGATCTTGTGCTGAAGGTAAAGGATTTTTAAATGGGACTGCCCTTTCAGATCTTCTGTTTTCAGGTGCAGAGGCGGTAGAACGGTGAATGTGACAAAGGGGGGCTTCAGTCAGCTTTCCTGACATGATGAGTCTTCCATCGCCAGTCGTCCACCAGCTCGCTGGCCATTGGGGCTGGTGTGCCCTTGGTAAGTGCTGTATCATGCACAGGTCAGCAGGGTTATAGGGTGGATTCTCAGGGAGGTCTGGTGGTCCTGGGGCTGGCAGCATCAGGGCCAGGATGTCCATTGTCTATTCTGCAGCTTTCTTTGCTGCCTGATCTGCCCTCTGGTTCCCTCTAGCCATTAGGGTGTCAGTTCTTTGATGCCCAGGACAATGGATAATGGCCAATTTGGTTGGCATCCACAAGGCTGCCAGCAAGTCTAAAATCTCCTGTTTTGGTTTTGGTTTTGGGTTTTTTTTGTTGTTGTTGTTGTTTGTTTGTTTTGTTGTTGTTTTGTTTTTTTTTTGTTTGTTTGTTTTTGTTTTTTGTTTTTTGTTTTTTTTTTGGTTTTTCCAGACAGGGTTTTTCTGTGTAGCTTTGTGCATTTCCTGGAACTCACTCTGTAACCCAGGCTGGCCTCAAACTCACAGAGATCCGCCTGCCTCTGCCTCCCCAGTGCTGGGATTAAAGGCGTGTGCTACCACCACCCGGCTCCTGTTTGTTTTTGATAGTCTTTCCCTCAGTGGTAAGTAGCCCGGGCTCTTGGCAGATGGCCTCATGGACATGGGCCAGTGAAGGCATAGCGGCTGTCTGTGTACACGTTTAGCCTCTTGCCCCAAACAGTGTCCTCTTCTGACACCACAGCTGCCCCTGCGTACCCTTTGCCATCTTGTATGGCACTTCTCAGTCCATGTACCTGGCTCAGGATTCCTTTGCAGTCATGTAGTGGGGTGTCCAGATCTAAATTGGGGAGCAGGGATACGGAATTTAAGGCTACACTCAGAAGAAACCGGATGCGAGGACGATTAAGGAGGAGGCTTTGATGGTGAGCCACTCGGGCATTGCTCAGCCATTGGTCAGGCGGCTGTTTGAGCACTCCCTCAATGGCATGAGGGGTGCTGATAAGGAGCTCTTGGCCCAAAGTTAACTTGTCAGCATCTTTGACCAACAGGGCAGTGGCTGCAATGATCCTTAGGCATGGGGCCACCCTGCTGCCACTGGAGTCTCTATGAGAAGTAGGCCGCCGGCCTATTCCAAGGTCCTAGCCTTTGAGTCAGGACCCCTCTATGGATGCCTTTTCTTTCATCTACATAGAGATGGGGTTTGGTGATATCTGGCAATCCCAGGGCAGGTGCCGAGAGGAAGGCCTTTTCTATCTTATTGAAAGCCTTGTCCTCAGCCTCAGTCCACTGAAAGGGCCGGATTTCTTTTGTTGCCTCATACAGTGGCTTAGCCAGTTCAGCAAAACTGGGGACCCAGAGGCGGCAGAAGCCAGCTGACCTGAGGAATTCTCTAACCTCCCTCCTGGAAGCAGGGGCAGATATTTTGTGCACAGTCTCTTGCGGGCTTCAAAGAGCCAATGTGGACCTTCTTTGAGGACATCCCAGATTTATGTCACTTTAGCTTGACTGATCTGGGCCTTTTTAGCTGATGCCCGATACCCCAGGCTTCCCAAGGTAGTAAGCAAATTGCCAGTGCTTACCTTACAGTCCTCAGTGTCAGCTGCTATCAGGAGATCATCCACACACTGCAGCAGAGTGACCTGCAAATGTCCCCTCTGGTATTCCCCAAGGTCCTCATGTAGGGCCTTGTCAAAGATGGTTGGGGAGTTCTTGAACCTTTGGGGCAACCTAGTCCAAGTCAGTTGTCCATTGTATCCCTTCTCAGGGTTGTTTGCTCAAAGGCAAACAAGGGCTGGCTCTTTGGGGCTAAGGGCAGGCTGAAGAAAGCATCTTTAAGGTCCAGTGCTGTATACCAGGTCCTCGTGGGAGGAAGTGAGCTCAAAAGGGTGTATGGATTCAGTACAGTGGGGTGTACATCTGTAACCCCGTGATTGACCTCCCTAAGATCCTGCATGGACTGGTAATCATTTGAGTTTGGCTTTTTATTGGGGAGCAGGGGAGTATTCCAGGCTGAACGTCAATGGACCAGAATTCCTAGTTCCATGAGGCACCTGATGTGAGGGGTGATCCCCTCCTTTGCCCTTCAGGACATGGGGTATTGCCACACCTAGGTAGGGGTAGCATTGGCCTTGAGCTCAGTGAGCACTGGGGCTCGATGTTTTATCAAGCCCATCCCCTAGTCTCTGTGAATGCCTCTGGATACTGGGCTAACCATGTGGTCATGTCCTGTGGGGCAGGTGGCAGCTCCTGGTGTAATCTGTATTCATCCTCAAGCTGGAGGGTGAGGGTTTGGATCAGCTGTCCCTCCTGATTTGTAATTGAAACTCCATTCTTATTGAAAGTAATCTGAGCCCCAACTTTAGTTAAGTCTCTTCCTAACTAGGAATAGGGGCAATCAGTTATGACCAGAAATGAGTGGGATACCCAGCCCATTCCAAGAGCCACTGTTCTTTGGGTAGTCCATGAATATTGGCTTATACCTGTGGCTTCCTGCACCCAAGACTTTTTCTGAGATAGATTTCCTTGGGGTTTGATTAAGACCAAATGTTGAACTCTGGTATCTATCTACTACAAAATCTGTAAGTTTCCCCTCCACTCTGAGTGGACTCTGGAAGGGGATCTAAACCCTGTCTGCCCTAGTCACTGAAGTCACCTGATTCTGCAACCAGCACACGGCAGGAGTCTCACTCTGCATCATAATCCTTGTGCCTGGGATTTTCAGGGCATTCTTTAGCCCAGTGCCCCACTTTTTGGCAGTAAGCACATTGGTCTTTCCTCAGCCTGGGGCATTCCCTTGAGTGGGAGTTCTTACCTTGGCCTCTGGCTAGGTGTCTCAGTTGGTGCTCCTTCTCATCTGGATCTCCTGCAGTGGCTGCTAGGAGGATTCTCACCATATTTCGAGTCTGCTCTGCATTCTCTACCGCCATGACCCTCATCTGTTTCTCTTCCGGGGTTTCTCGGTTGTTGTACACTCTCTAAGCTTCAGCTAACAGCTCCTGGATGCTCTTGTCTGCAAGCCTATCTGTCTTTTGTAACTTGTGTTGAATATCAGGTGCAACCTGATTAATAAAGGCCACAATCATTGCTGATCTGTTCTCCTGGGCCTCAGGATCCATATGGGAGTATTCCCTAAAGGCCTCCATAATCCATTCTGAGAAGGCCGATGGAGATTCTGGCTTTTCATGCTGTACACTACTGATTCTAGACAAATTTGGCAGCTGCACGGAGACCTCCACACATATACACATTAGAACCTGGCAGTAGACCCAGAGCCTCCTTACCTTCTGCCGAGTTGAAATTCCAGTTAGGACGGGTTAGAGGGAAAACTGGGTCTATTAAGGCTGGGTTGACAATCGGGATTCCATCAGATCCTGGAACCGGTTGTAGCTAGAGTTTTCCTGCTTTGCCCACAGTCAGGACAAATCTTTGTCACCCGCCAGTCCCACAGCCGCTCAGACCCAACCAAGTAAACACAGAGACTTATATTGCTTACAAACTGTATGGCCGTGGCAGGCTTCTTGCTAACTGTTCTTTTATCTTAAATTAATCCATTTCCATAAATCTATACCTTGCCACGTGGCTGGTGGCTTACCGGCATCTTCACATGCTGCTGGTCATGGCGGCGGCTGAAGTGTCTCTCGCCTCAGCCTTCCGCTTCCCAGAATTCTCCTCTCCTTGTCCCACCTACTTCCTGCCTGGCCACTGGCCAATCAGTGTTTTATTTATTGACCAATCAGAGCAATTTGACATACAGACCGTCCCACAGCAACCGGTTTCCAAGCTTCTATCAGAACTCTCTCTTTTTCTTCCGTGGTAAACAGAATCTGCAAAAGCTGTTGGCAGTCTTCCCAAGTGGACTGGTGAGTAAATATAACCAAATCTAAGAAGTTAATAAGGGCCCTTAGATTGTCTGAGAAACTGGGGTTTGGGTTTTTCCAGTTATAAAGATCACTTGTGGCGAAAGGCCAATACTGCATCTGTTCATTGCCCTCACTGTCCAATGGGTGGACTGCCCTAAGGGTGGAGAACAACTGAGTCGACAGCCTGGAGAAGTTCTCATCAGGCTCACCCCTTCCCAAATCCCTGCATCCACCTGGGCCCCACTGGCCACTGATCAGTTGGGGGAGGCAGCCAGTAAGAGGGAGGTGAAAAAAGGAGTTCCTCCTCTGTACCTCCTTGCAGCACAGGGGCAGAGGACTTAGGGTCCTCTCGTCCTTTGTCTTCCCGTAAGGCAAGGACGGTCTTGTTCATCGGTCCTGTAGAGATAAAGGATTTTAACCAAGGGGGAGGGTGTGCTACAAGGTCCTCCTAAGTGACTATGTAAGGAATCTGGTCCAGGTGTCTGGGTTTGCCAAAAATCAGGTCTTTTCTCCTAGAAATGGTGTAGGAGTCAAAGGTTCCCTTTATTGGCCACCGGGTTCCAAATGTTGGCCAATCAGTCTCACAAAAGATGGTCAGTTTACCCTTTTTAATAGTTTCCAGTCCTTCTCTCTTTGTCCTATTTCTACAGTCCCGAAAGTGGTCCAGAATCAAGGTTAGGGGAATGGAGTACTCTTTGTCTGACCCATATGCCAGTCTTGTAAGTCAGAAAGATAGTAAACAGAATCACACCACACACAAGACTACAAACAGAAAAAAACAGAACTCCTGGCACCTGAAGATGAAACTGAGATGCCAGCTTCCAAACCAAATCCACATTAGCCAATGGGGACGTCAGTTCCCAGCCTGTGCTACCATTTGCAGGCACTTACAAATTTTGAGCTCACTTACAAAAGGATATCCCAATGAAAGTCGACACAAAAAACACGAAAGTAAACACAGACACAGAAAACTTATCAACTGGCTTCAGGGTCCTGGTGGGCTTGGGGGATCCCAGACAAGCTCCCAAATGTTATGCCCAGATTGCAAGGACCCCAAAAAGTCCACCACAGAGACCGAATCCCATATGTAAAAGCAAAGAGCCTTTATTTCAAGCTCAGAGCTTGGACTCTGTCTGAGGCAGCAGTGAGAGCAGAGAGCCCCCAGCCCAGGCAGGGTGGGTTTTATCATAGCAGAGGTTGGGCTGAGGGGATTTCTAGGGTCCAGGACCCTGATTGGCTGACATTTGTCTAGGGGCATCTGTAAAAGGGAAATAGATGTGTGCTAGGCTCAGGGACATCTGGTGATCTTATCTAATCTTTTCTAAGGGTTGGAACATTTGGGATGTCTGGTACCTCCCCTTAGACACTGGCCTACCCCTGGGTGGATCCCTGGATGGTGTTAGCTTATGACTTTTCCTAGATCTGGGTGTTGCCTGCCAGTAAGCCTATCACAGCAGCTGTGTCTGGGCCTCTAAGCCTGTCATGGCAGTTGTGTGATCAAGCTGTTTGGGGCCCCCCTCACAATAGCAGCTCATTTCATGAAACACTGGTAAACCAAACACTTGTTCACCACGTGCAAGAATAAACTCCAAGTAGGTCATAGATTCACAATAAATTTTAAAAAAATCAAACCATGAAAATACTAAAAGAAAATACAGGTCCATGGAGATAGCCACCAAGCCTGACAGCCTGAACTTCACCCCCAAACCCACATGGTGGAAACAGAGAACATTCTGAAAGTTCTCCCTTGGCCTCTGCCTCAGAGCTGTGGCATGTGTACATCCACACACAAAAATAAAATAAAAAATGTTTATGTGCTTGAGTGTTTGGCTACATGTATGTGTGCACACCACCACATGCATGCCTGGTACCCAAGGAGGTCAAAAGAGGGCATCCAGTCCTCTGGAACTGGAGTTTCAGATGGTTGTGAGCTGCCAGGTGGTGCTGGGAACTGATCCTGGATCCTCCACAAGAGCAACAATTGTCCTTGGTCACTGAGCCGCCTCTGCAGCCCTCGTTCAAAAAATGTGAAAGCCGGAGTGGGTGGCTCACGTCTGTTTGTGAAGTACAAACACAAGGTCAGGAGTTCAAGGTCATCTTTGACTTACAGAGAATTTTAGGCCAACAGGCGCTACATGAGGTCCTGTCTAAAAACAAGAATGAAAGAAGGAATTCCTATATAATATGGGTATAAGGAAATATTTTCTATGACCCCAAATCCAAATGTAACTTTTTAAAGACAGATACAACTTAACTACAAAAAAAATTAAAATAAAATGTGACATTGACCAAAAACACAAAAACAAAAACTTTAGGCACTGCAAGCAGTGTGAGAAGATGGGGGCCATCCTGTGCTGCCTGGACAGACGGAGGAGACTGTCAATGGAGGCTGCAGGACAGACTTTGCTCCTGGAGTCCTGGAGTGCAAGCAGCCAGTGTGGAGTTGGAATTTAGCTCAGTGGTAAAGTGGTTACCCGGCAGCACAAGCCCTGTTCTCTCTACCACCACAGCATGGGTAGGGAGGGTGTTAAAAATGTTGCATACACCCCAGCAACCCGTGAACATACACACCACTCCCTGCCGGAGTATTGCAGTGTATCCCCCGAGCACATAGATAAACAGTGTATGTGTAAGCCTATTTTTCAATATGACATATAAAAATGATGAAAAACTGTAGCATGAGACCAGGACAAAAAGCAGGTGGTGATGCTTTAAGGGGCACAGTCCGTGCTCTTAGAGGCGGGGACGATGGAACTACAATTGCTACAGGGGAGACAAAGCCACACAGCATTCAGACTCTAAGCTCAGATACGGGCCTCATCCCTCCCATCAGAGCAACCAAAACCCATTTCCGACCCCACGTGGGAAGCTGTAACGGATGGCTCAGTTCAGATCGCTTACAGCTTTCCGGAGGTCTGGAGTTTGGTTCCCAGGGAGGGAGGCCCACAACTTGCTGGGACCCTAACTCCAGACGATCCAACGACTCCTTCAGGATTTCCCCGGCAAGATGTTTGAAGCTGGCCTGCTCCTCCCTCCATCCTTCCTCCATCTCCCTCCCCCCCCCCCCCTCCCCCACCCCCCATCCTGCCCTCAAAAACAAAGTCTTTTTTAAAAAAGGCCCCAGGGGTGAGTTACAGGTAACCCATAGAGGAATAACTGGAGGACAGTCTTTGACATAACTGGCCTGGCTGGGTTTCTGTCATTAGAAATCAAAAGGCAGGTTTAAGAGTCTTATAAAAAGGAATCAGTGGTTTAGAGTAGATGCTGCTCTTGCAGAGGACCTGGGTTCAGTTCTCAGCATCCAGGATAAGCCTCTCACAATCCACCTACAACTCCAGCTCCAGGGCATCTGGTGCCTCTGCAATTCACTGGAACTTGAACTCATGTGCACGTTCACATTACACACACACACACACACACACACACACACACACACACACACACACACACATTCATTAAAATAAAATAACATTAAAAGATAAATCTGAGCCGGGCGGTGGTGGCGCACGCCTTTAATCCCAGCACTCGGGAGCCAGAGGCAGGCGGATCTCTGTGAGTTCGAGGCCAGCCTGTGCTACCAAGTGAGTTCCAGGAAAGGCGCAAAGCTACACAAGAGAAACCCTGTCTCGAAAAACCAAAAAAAAAAGATAAATCTGAAAACACCACAAGGGGGTGCTTTGACCAAGAGCAATCTCTCCTACACGTGAGTACTTCTTTTCAAACAGGAGCCTGCAAGATGCGCACCGCCAGGGCAAAGACCTAGAAGCCAGATTCCTTGCCTGGGTTCCAGTGTGGGCCTCCAGCTGCATTGGTGCCTCTACCCGCACCTCTGCCCGCACCTCTGCCCGCACCTCAGCCCGCACCTCTGCCAGCACCTCTGCCCGCACCACTGCCCACACCTCTGCCTGCACCTCTGCCCGCACCACTGCCCGCACCTCTGTCTGCACCCTGGGGCAGTATTTCAGTGACTCCCCGGGTTTCTCTCTTACACTGTTTCTTTGTATTTTTATTTCTCTCATATGGGTCTTTGTTTTCTCTTGTTCTATTTTCTGACATCATCCCCCACACCCATTTGTGTTCTGCTTTCTTCTTTCTTTTCTCTCTCTGGTGACCAACCATAACCCAAAATATAATACTTTATATTTTATTTATGTATATGCACATGTGCCACAGGTGTGTGGGTACACTCAGAGGCCAGAAGAGGACACCAGATCTCCTGCAGCTCGAGTTACAGGCACCTGTGAGCCACCCCATGGGACTGCTTCCCAAACTTGGGTCCTCTGGAAGAGCAGCTAGCATGTTTAAGTAATAGGTGTGGTGACTTAAGCTTGTAATTCCAGCATTTGGGAGGTAGAGGGAGCAGGGTCGTGTGTTCAAAGACATCCTTGGCTATATATTGCATTTGAAGAGGTGAGAAATGCATTATTTTAAAAAAATAAAATCAAACATGCCAGGCCATTGTGTGGCACACCTTTAATCCCAGCACTCAAGAGGTAGAGGCAGGTGAATCCTTTGAGGTCAAGGCCAGCCTGGTCTACAGAGTGAGTTCCAGGACAGCCAGGGCTATACAGGGAAACCCTGTCTCAAAAAATGAAGCAACAACAATAATAAATATAAATATATAAGACAGAGATTGGTGAAATGTCTCAGTAGACAGAGTACTTGAGGACCTGAGTTCAAATCCCCAAAATCCATGTCAAAGCTGGCCATGGCAGCTTGTGACTAATCGCAACCCTGAGGAGGCAGAGACAGGAGGGTCCATGAGACTTTCTGGCCACCAGTCCAAGCTAAACAGTAAGTGTCAGGCCAGATGAAAAACAATGGAGGAAAATGCCCGTTGTGTATCTCTGATCTCCACATGCTCATGTATGTGCATACATGCACAAAAACAGGTTAGAAGAATACTCAACAGAAGCTTTTTTGTTTATTGTTGCTGGGTTTTTAGTTTTTTTTTGTTTGTTTGTTTTGTTTTGAGACAGCATTTCTCTGTGTAACAGTCC